GCAAACTTCAAACTAACCTCAAATATACTCACAGAAAATCCGAGCTAATTCTTCCTCCAGTAATGTTTGTGGATGCGGTGGTGGTGGTGGCGACGGTGGTATTGTCAGCAGGTGTGGCAGTGGTAGTGGCAATGATGGAAGCTGCAGCGCTCCTGCAAGTGGTGCAGCCATCGAAAGCGCCATTGTGGACGTGGTATCAGCGTCAATGGCGTCATAAACCAGCTGCAATTGCTCTTGGGCTGAAATATTTAAAAAATGTGATCACAAATGTAACACTATGTTTAAGTGTAACTTAACTTACTTAAACCATTTTTTATCAATCCAAAATACTTACAGAAACGAACAGCCACGTCATCGATCGCCAGTGTCTGCGGCGGCAGGGAAAGTGGTGGTAGTGACTGCTGACTCTCACCCGGCCGCATCTGTTTCTCACTAAACGTGCTCTCATGTGAGAGCTTCCGTTTACGTGTCTGTAAATCGAAATACTGTTAAAGAAAATGAAAACATTTACAAACCAACGTGTTGTTGTGTGAAAACTGTAAAAGCAAAATTAATAAAGCGACTATTTCTTACATTCGGCTCATCTGGCGCCGCCGTATCCCCCTCTTCTTCAGTGCCAATGACGTAGTCCGGCCCCAATTCCTCGATACAATGTGCAACTGTAACCAGATACAACACGTTTAAGAATGTGTTTACTTGAACGACTTGCAAAATGATTTGCATGAAATTGTAAGTCACTTACTTTGACCCTCCAAGTTCAAATTCATTTCCTTCACTTCTTCGATACTTGGTTCTTCTTTTGCATTTTTTAGTTTTGTGATGGCAAGAGCCATCAGCTTGGTCATCGATATCTAAAAATTCAAACAAAAGCAAATAAACCCTATCATTCTTAAACAATTACAGTTTATCTTATTAATAAAGTGGTCGTAAGCACTTACATTAGAGTCGCACCCTAAGGCTGCAATCAGCTCCGCAGTGGCGTCAGCGGCGTCGTTCCGCCGCTCCCGCTCGTACTGAGCGTTGCGCGCTCGTCTTTCTTCCTGTAGACAAAGTAAAATTACATTATTATAATTAATTTTTTCACTTAAAAAAGGGATGAGTTTATGTTTTGTGTAGTGATTGTTTAATACGAACCAGGGACAGAGGAGTGCGGTTTGCCCCGCTAGGTCTGCCGCGCCTCGGTCTAGTTGCGGCGGAGTGCCGGGATTTAGCCTGTTGGCTAGGGCTCTTCGGTACATTCACAGAATCCATTATGATTTAAAAAAAAATATTTTAAATATAATTTGTTAGAAAGTAGTTGGTAGTGGAACTCGTTGCAGTTGCAGTGGTTAACTTGACCGCTAACTGAGTAATGAGTGCAAAATTCACGCTGTCCGCGCGTACGCAGGGGTTGGTGGGCCGAGATGGCGTGGGGGGGTGGGAAAACGATCGGGGTGATTGGTCGAAAATTCCTCATTGTTTAGAACAATAAGCAGATTATATAGTAATATTATTATTTGTAAAACGGCACATAGCAAAAACTACCTGCAAGGAAATATACACAATGAGGTTAGATTAAGTACTCATAGTTTCTGGTTAAACAGAGGTGCTATTAGGTGATTTATTTAAAATTTATCCATAAGACGTTATAATCTCCGAACCGGTTACATTAACGTTTTTAATAACTCCTTCTGTTTTTATAGAGAAGATACGAATAAAAGAATAAAAATACCAACATCTAAAAATAGAAGAGCACTGAGTATGCAAATCGTGTTACGGTTGAAAAGTTTTTTTTAGGCTAGTCACTTACTGTGCTATCATAAAATTTAATTGAACTAAATAAATGTTTAATTTAGTAAAACTTCAAAATTACTACGTGATTTAAACTTACGTATACGCTAAGCTGTAGCCACAGCTAACAGCGTAGGTATAGTACGATACAGTAAATAATTTTGGTTGGCTGTGTCGCTACATACTGTGTTTTTATTTAAAACTAGCGACTCACCCCAGTGTTATATGGATATTGATGTTATTATACTTTTTAGTACGTTCGCGCATGTAGCGTGAACCATCTGCAAAAGGAGAAGGTAAAATAACTAAACGGCCTTTACTCACAGTATTATTACCTTACAGCATGGCGTCGCAAAGGTGCACGCACTCTTAGCGTACTACATGTATTTTCATACGATTGGTTTTTTCATTTGGTTCATGTTGGTGTTTTCATACGAATCTCTTACATTCTTTTTAACTTATTTGTATTAATGTCAACTTTTTTTAGTAAGGGATGAGTGAGAGTATTATAAACGTAAGACTAAACAATTATATTCATTATGCTCCGAACTACTAAGCTATCAGGAGTTACACGTGTTATTATGAGTCAACCATAAAAGATAGACATATGCTGTTGCAATATGTCTTTATATAATTTTATGTTGAACATTTCCGCGATACATGATTTTTACTTTAACCATTATGGCTGCACACGCGACGGAAGCTTAAAAAATAGTGTAACGTCTGCCATTTTCATTGCATTTTTAGCATTAGTATCGAATACGAATCACCCCCTGTTAGTTATTTTGAAAATATATTTCATGTACAAAATTAACCCCTCTACATATTTATTATCTATACTAATATTATAAAGCTGAAGAGTTTGTTTGTTTGTTTGTTTGTTTGAACGCGCTAATCTCCAAAACTGCTGGTTCGAATTGAACAATTCTTTTTGTGTTGGATAGTCCAGTTATCGAGGAAGGCTATAGGCTATATAACATCACGCTACGACCAATAGGAGCAAAGATATAGTGGTAAATGTGTAAAAAACTGGAGAAATTATTTCATCTTTGTAGCCTTCCGTTGCGTGCGCCGTGAAAACGGTTCAAGATACACAAAAAATATGTATTAAAGAATAATAGCTCTTTTAATGATCTAAAAAACAGTCCGCGACAGTATATGTCTATCTTTTAAGATTAACTCACAAAAACCGTTTTTATGGTACCTAATTTGGTCGAAATAATTTGTTTAAGTTGTATCAACATAATAACATTAATCTTTATTCAAATAAATATGTTGTTGGTTAAGAGTACTTCATTGTGAATAAAATTGTCTTTAACATAACTTAATTTCAACAAAAAACTTTAAAGATTACAATCCTAACTAATATTATAAATGCGAAAGTAACTCTGTCTGTCTGTTTGTCTGTCTGTCTGTCTGTTACGTTTTCCCGCTTAAACCTCGCAACCGATTTTAATGAAATTTGGTACAGACAATCTTTAGACCCTGAGACAGAACATAGGCTACTTTTTTTTCGAAAAACAGGGATAACGGGGTTGAAATAGGGGTTAAAAGTTTGTATGGGATTTCGTAATTTTTAAAGATAAAACCATAAAACTTAATATTTAAGCACTTGATAAGAAAATATGAAATATTAGTTCTAGCATTTTTGAAATTTCGACCAGCTAGGGGGTGAAATAAGGGTTGAAAGTTAGTATGCAATTTCGTCAAATATCACGTCATAAGAAACAAAAAATCGTTTGTACTAGCATTTTGAAAATTTTATCAGTGTGATATGTAGTGAAATAGGGGATGAATTAAAGATAAGACCCGGAACGGATTCGGAACGGGATCTACAAAGCCAACCTTTATGTAGGTAAGTATACGAAATCTTAACTATTGAACCTAGGAACATGTAATTTAGAAGTTTTGGGTGTATCAAGTTACAAAATACTTTCGAAGTATAAATTCCTTTTAATGAACACTCTGCATCGCCGTCGCTGCCGTCAGCGTCGCGCACATTCGCCGAAGTGCGGCTCGGCGCTGTCGTGTGGTGGGGAAGCGCACGAATCTAACTGGTAGACATACCCAAACGGACAGACACGTGAGGACAGAGGTCGTTGTCGGGTGCGATAAGAGAAATTTGCGCTTTAGAGAATTACATTTTTCGATCCAGTAAAATTATTTTATTGTTTCGTCTATCTTTTTAAGTGTTTTTTTTTCATTAATTAGATCCTGTAAATAAATTTTGCACATACTTAATATTTCTTTTAGTTCATAGTTACAACGTTACAAGTAGGTAAGATAGTTTCCGTTACTTTAAATAAATACGATTTGCTTTTATTTCCTTTTTTATTCAATTAATCTAATAGCATCGTACTTTTTTGCATTGGTTGTAAATAAGTACTTATCCAAGTAGGTGCAGGCAGGGTGAACAAAGGTTTTTTGTAATATAATAAATCTTAATCTGTACATCTGTTTTGTTCGATTCATTTCATTTTTGTTGTTCTACGATGCCTCGCAAACTAAAGTCCAATTTAGCTAAAAGCTCTAGCAGAGCTCGGGCTGCTAAACTTGCCAGATCACTAGAATGAGACTTCTCAACAGACCCAAGCTCACCAAGCCATTGATGCCGAGCGTCACGCGGCTCAAAGAGCTGCTGAGACGTCTCAACAGTCCCAAGCTCGCCAAATCATTGATGCAGAGCGTCACACGGATCAAAGAGCTGCTGAGACTTCTCATCAGACCCAAGCTCACCAAATCTTAGATGCTGAGCGTCAAGCTTCGTACATAGCCGCAGAGACCTCCGAAGAAACACGTAGATGACGTTTAATTAATGCCGAGCGGCAAGCAGAAAGGAGACGTACGTTTACGATGAATACGTGGGAGGTATTGCCGATGCTGCTTTGAATTATGATCTGTTACTTGATTACTTTAATCATCGATTAGTCCTCATAGGTAGGATGGCCAATAAATGCAGACACTGTGAGGCACTCAAGTGGAAGGAAGAGACCCTAGGTATGTGCTGTTCTGGAGGCAAAGTATCAGTACCAACGCTTGGTGACCCCGAGGAGCAACGACAGAAGAAAGGACAGCAATGAATCTCGGCGATTTTTCCTGTCATCATGCCTGGATTTTCACCCACATTTACGGTACAAGGGCAAGTTTATCATAGGATTGGTTCTTTGCTTTCCACAAACAATAATCAACCAAAATTTCTACAGATTGATTATATGGGAGACGAAAACAGCGAGGTTGACCGTTGATGGCAAAATATTGAAGGAGAGGAGAGGGACATTGTTTTAAAAATTCAAAGAATGTTGCACGAACATAATAACCTTATTAATACCTTCAAAACAGCCTTAGAAAAAATGCCACAGGAAAATCACAAATTAGAAAGAAAAGAAAGAAAGAAAAACCATTTATTACGCCACGACAAATAAAAGGAATACAGGTACACACACACAAAAAGCCCATATAGTGCGTCGCAGCGCAAAAGCGCAAAAAAAATTAGTAATACTCGGAGATCGTACGCCAAATGGGGAACATGAAAGACGTTATAATGCACCCTTAATAAACGAAGTCGCTGCCATGGTGTGTGGTGAACAGTTCGCATCGCGCGATATTGTTTTTCAAACCCATGATAACACATTGATCAGGGTGTCCGACACACACAAGTTTTATGACGCACTACAATACTCGCTTATGTTTAGTAGCAATGAGCAAGAGGGGTACCGTTTTCAAATTCCACAAGAAGTGTGGAATTTGAAAATGGTACTCCTGGGCTGGCCCCTGTAAGAGTCTCTTAGACATATGGTACCAGGATTGACAAAAACTAATTTGACGCGGGCGAAGCCGCGGGTGGAAGCTAGTAAGTATATATAAATGTGTCGGTTTAAAAATTTTTGTCAGTTGTGTCGGCTTTGTACTTAGATCTTCTAACAATCCAAGTAACTAACCCACAACTAACATTATTATCAAATGTCGCGTTTAGCTACTGAACAATGGAAACAAAGGACCGTACTTTGACTGCCTGTTTGCGTCAATTGTTCATGGATCTGGTCTATTTATTTCTTAGTAAGCTTATCGCCAGTATTGAACAAATAACCTTTTGACGAGATCCAGTAAAGTTAAGGTAGGTTTCTGAACCATAAAACAAAACTATTTAAAAGTTTACGAATACATTATTTACTACACATTATTGTACCTGCACAGGTTAGAAGAAAAAACAGAACAATTACCGAAGGGATCAATTCAAAATTATATCGTCTTGAATATAGTTCTCACACATACCGACTAACAATCCAAAATAAAGCATTTTTGTTCTGAGAATTTGAATAACTTTTAAATGTATTTTAGTATTCGCCACTGAAGCCGTTCTAGCATGCTGCCAGGCATTTTTATTCTCGATATAATCCGACGGTTTGCAGTATGCTTTTCTACGCAATTCGAGTTTAACATAAGTTTAAAATTTTCTGTTATTACGATTTCATATACTACTTGGTGTTTCATTGTAACTGCTTACACACAACTCCATTCAGGATGTCTTCTGTACTGTGGGCAGACGTAATAGTGACAAGCCTATTTTTTGCCTTTGATATTAAAATTATGTTCTTCTTCTTTCAAATAATTGTACAATTTTCCTGATGTAAATAATATCCTAATATGTATATAAACTGACAAGCCATCGTTAGGATATTTATAGTTTTTAAAAGTTCTCTCAGAGATACGCGACGGAGCAAGTTATATATCCCTCGAATAGCTTTTAAGAATAAAAATTGATTGTACTTATTTACAGCAGTTCGATCACACAGCAAAATTCGGTAGCACATAATGCGTTTGAGTATATACGTGCTTACGTTTGTGAGCTGTCTTGTCTAACTACAAAGACGAATGAGCTTAATCACCCCGAAAGAACCTTTTTGTAGGAACCCCAGTGAGAGCTTTTTTTGTCTGCGGTGATACCTAAGAACAATATCTCGTGGACAAATTTAAACTTTTGCCCATTATAAATTGTGTCACAATCATAAGTTTGTACGGTTGGTAAGCGAAATGTAATACATTTTGTTTTTTTTTTCTAGTTAAGCCCTAAGTTATTAATTGTGACTTTGACGAAAGGAGCTATTTACTTCGCCAAATGAACGGTATGCCGACCTATTTTAAAAATTAATGAAATATCATCTACAAACAGCACCCTTCCTTGGTCAGATTTTGATAGAAATGTCAAGTTATTCATATAAACTAAAACGGACCCAATATCGAACCTTGCGGAACACAAATTTTCACGTGAACCTTCCTGTAATATCAATTTTGCGCAGATCAATCAACCATCCAAGACTACGAACTCTACGTCTTACTTGTTGGCGTTAAGTACAAAGTTCATTGATTCCACCATACTAGTAGCCTATAAGTTAACAGTAGTGGAGTATCTCTACATTCCGAAACAGATCTTGCTCCACGATAAGTATGAATAATGCAACCTTTAAATCATATGTTGTATTCATAGAAACATAATTTTCATTTTAAAATCCATGGCTTGTCGTATACATGTAGTTGTGTCGGCTTTAAACTTTGATCTTTCGTTGATGTTCAGATGCAAACTAAAATTACCCATTTATTCCTCTAACTGTTATTATGAGAAAATTTTGCGATTTGCTACTGAACAATGAAAACAAAGGGCGGTAATTTGACTGCCTATTTGCGCTGATCATTCTTGGATCCCGTTTTATTTATTTCCTAGAAAGCTTATCACATTGAACTACATAATTACTTATTGTCAAGATCTAGCAAAGATAACGTTGCTTCTATGGATAAAGTTTTACTATTTTGAGATCGATATAATTTATTGAGTCGTAAAGCGTGAATACTGATGTCATTGTTTAGGATAACTGTTTTTTTAATTTTAAATTTATAGTTAATACTGTATTTTAAGTTTAATTCTTATAATTATTACTCTTTCTATGATTCGGTTTATTACCAGAGATAAATTAAACAAGTGAAAGTAAATTGAAAACATATATTCATAGTTCTTAGCTCAATTCTTTCTGTTTGGTGGGTGTGGTATTCGTCGTCATTTATTCTGCCGGCAAGCCATTGATTTAATACGATGAGGAACATCATACGCTGAAAACAAACAGAAAACAAGCATTAAAACGAATATACTAATATTGTTAACAGCAAGTAAGATTAATAAAATCTTTTTTTCAGAAATTCAAATAGGTACTATGCTTACAGAAACTCTTCCTCCAGGGATGTCTGCAAATGTGGCAGTGGTCGTTTCACTAGCGGTATAAGTTGGCAGTGACCTGCAGGGTAGCCGCACCGCATTTTTCGAAAAGAGAACATCGTCGATGGCTTCATAGACTAGTTGCAATTATTGCTCTTGAGCTGAAACAAAATAACTACAAGTCCTATTTTGTAAGTTATAAGTCTCGGTCGAATAATTTATCAATCGAATACTCACAGCTGCGACTATATCTCCTCGATCGCCTGCGTCTGCGGCGGTGATGGAAGTATCTCTCCACATCAGTTTCTCTCTTAAAATGCTGCCATGTGAAAGTTTGCGTTTACGTGACTGTAAAAAACATAAAAGAATGTGAACGACGCCAATAATAAACAATACGTGAATAAAAGCGTAATAATATATTAAATGGAGAACAATCAAAGTAAGTAGGTGTTCTTTACATTTGGCTCATACAACGCCATTGCTTGCACCTTTTCTTCACTGCTAATTACGTAGGCCGTCGTTTGTTCCGCCGGCAAACTGCCAGCGATGTGAAACGACGCCTTCTGTCAGTGGCCTTCGGAATACTCGATGGAACTTCTCATTTTTCTTCTTTATTAAAGCAAAGCGATTGATGTACGAAGTCCAAACTGTGAATAAGGTAAACAAAAATTATTTTTCTTCTTTTAGTAGGAGGCATTTGGTTGTCTCAGTTAGAAAAATAATACTTACAGAAAATCTGAGATAACTCTCCCTCCAGCGAAGTATGCGAATGCAGTCCTAGTAACGGTAGTGGTACTGCCAGCAACGATGAAAACGGCAGTGCCACAATGGCCAAATCTAAAAACAAATAACTTAAGTGAACATGTGACCACTAAAAAGATTCAGCTCTTCTGAAACATACAAAAACTTACATTAAAGTCGCAGCCTAGGTCCGCGATTAACTGCACAGTGGCGTCAGCAACATCATCCCGCCGATGCTGCTCACACTAAGCGTTGCGCGCTCGGCTTTCGATTCAGGACAACCAATAGACAATGTTGGTTATTATTAATACATATTTGATTGAACATTTTTATCGCTTGTAGTATTATTGGTGTTATACGAACCATAGCCAAAAGGTTGACACAGGTAAGTCTGCCGCGCCTCGCTCCGGATGCTCCTGTGGGTTTAAATTGGTCGCTCATTGTTCAGGACAATGAGCGGATTGTAAATTAATATTACTTAAAAAGAGTTATATAAGAAACTAAGTCGATTAATTAAACAATCCTACGACATTGTAACTTACCTTTGCACAATTTATCCTTGGCCAACGTTGCGTTACATTCCCCGATGGAGCTCTCTTCGTCTTCTTTTTATTGGTCTATTACGTCTAATACGTCAAAGACCTTTTGCAACTGGTCTTGTGCTAAAAAAAAACACACACATTCAAACGTTTATTATCTATAAATATTGTAAACCTCAAGCTAACCTCAAATATAGATACTCACAGAAAATCCGAGCTAATTCTTCCTCCAGTGAAGTCTGCGGATGCAGTGGTGGTGGTGGCGACGGTGGTATTGTCAGCAGGTGTGGCAGTGGTAGTGGCGATGGAATCTGCAGCGCTCCTACAGGTGGTGCAGCAACCGAAAGTGTCTCTGTGGAGTTGGTATCAGCGTCGATGGCATCATATACCAGCTGCAATTGCTCTTGGGCTGAAACAATAAAATATGTGATCACAAATCTCATTCTATGTTTAAGTATAACTTACTGAATCCATTTTTTTTATTAATCGAATACTTACAAAAACCAACAGCTACGTTCATCTCCTCGATCGCCTGTGTCTGCGGCGGTGGTGGAAGTGGTCGGCCGCATCCGTTTTTCACTTAGCGTGCACTCTTGTGAGAGCTTACGTTTACGTGGCTGTAAATCAAAGGACTGTTAAAGAAAATTGAAACCAATAACAAAAATATATATTTCAGAAAAGCAAATGGAAAATACACATGCCACTATTTCTTACATTTGGCTCATCCAGCGCCGCCGTCTCCATTCTCCGGCCCCAATTCATTAATACAATATGCAACTGTAACAAAACAAAAACATGTTAGGAATGTATTTACTTGAACAAATTAGTTATATTTTTGCATGTGAGTCACTTACTTTGCCCCTGCAAGTTTAAGTTTATTTGCTTTAGTTCTTCGATACTTAGTTTCGCGTTTTGCAATTTTGTGATTGCAAGCGCCAACAACTTGGTCATCGTTATCTGAAAATTTAATCAAACACAAATAAGCCATACAATTTTTAAAATATTCCTAAAAAAAATAATTATTGCAACTACTTACATTGGAGTCGCACCCTAAGGCCGCAATCAGCTCCGCAGTGGCGTCAGCGGCGTCGTTCCGCCGCTCCCGCTCGTACTGAGCATTGCGCGCTCGTCTTTCTTCCTGTAGAGAAAGTAAAATTACATTATTATAATAATTTTTTTAGTTACACAGGAATGTTTTTTTATATATGTGTATAATACGAACCAGGGACAGAGGAGTGCGGTTTGCCCCGCTAGGTCTGCCGCGCCTCGGTCTGGATGCGGCGGAGTGCGAGGATTTCGCCTGTTGGCTCGGGCTCTTCGATAAATTTACCGGATCCATTATGATTTAAAAAAATATTTAAATAATAC